CATATAGGAGTAGGATTTCCAGTAACGATAAAATATTTGAACGGAATATCACATAATAAATATGATTGGATTATCATCCAATCATATTATGAATATGATTCGATTACTAAAATATTAGAGGATATGAATAATTATTTACGAAAATAAAATTTTGTTTATTATTTATTATATTATAATTTAAAAATTATTTTATTGAGACCAATGTGAAGTTTAAAACAGTTTTTGAAAAGTTTGTTTATTTCAACACATCATAGACGGAGATAAAGGAATTCTAATAAAACTTTTTTTAGAAGTAGAATTTTTCGTTAATTTGTCATTTGTATAATTAATGTGTTTAAAAAGTATTGCATATCTAAATAAAATATGCATACCTATCTTCAAGTGGGCTTGAAATTACTTTTCATTCGTTAGCCGAGCTGCGGTAACACTTCGCCGCCAGAAACCTTTACTGAAATAGTAACCGTCCTTACAGGACTACAAATTGTTTTTAGAGAGGTGGTAATACGGAGTGAAGGGTCGTCGAAGAGTCAATACTCTGCCGACGTTCCTGTACCTCTCGAGGAGTGTGAACGTGGCCACATGGCGAGGTGTGAAGTGCCGGCATCTCTGTAAGACTCAAGGCAATAACTGTGCCCAGAATACTAAACAAATATTCATGTAAGACAAATTAATGTAAGAACTAAACCTCGAACTGTTAAAGTATTCTGGTTACTGGTGGCACCTTGTCTACCACAGAGCCTTCGCTAAACTTCTCGCTAAGCGGAAGCCTAGATCACATAAACTCTACGAACACGAGGAGAAACCTTCGATCCTTCTCCAGAGCGGCGGTCGTAGACCATCCAGAAACCCCGAATACCTCGGAGGATGCTACGGCCATACGACATTAGTGATAAAGAAAATGACTCAAGTACTGAGGCAGGTATGGAAGAAAATTTATTAAATGAACAATTAACAGATACAGAAATTAAGCAAAAATGAGATCGATGGAAGAAAGCTGAACCTTCAAAATGGAAAAGAAATTTAAAGAAAAAACAGAAAATTGAATCCAAAAGTAGAAATCACTTTGTCACAACTTTTGGAATAGTGAATATTTGAAGCAAAAAGAATTTCTTCTTGGAACAACAGAAAGTATGCCACCTTTAATGAGAAGGGTTCGAACAGAGAAATCACGGAAAGAAAAAACATATATAAAAATTTACTATTTAAATAATGATGTGCAAAAAATATACGTATCTAAAAGATTTTTTCTTACAACTTTATGCATTTCAGCCGATATGGTTGATACTAAGTATAAAGGCAAGAGAGAGGGAAAACTGTTTGTTGGACTAGACAATAAAGGTAAGAAGACTCCACAGAACAAGACAGTCCAAGAAAGTATAAAAAGAGTGAAAAATCATATAAAAAAGTTTCCTACCATGGAATCTTATCATTCCAAAAAAGAAACTAAACGTTTCTACCTCGACCCTCAACTTACCATTACGAAAATATACAATTTATATAAAAAAGAATAATTGATGGATTTGAGCGTTACTTGATGGAAATTCATTTTATGTACCAATAAAACACTGAAAACTTTGTTTTCAACACTTCCACAAAATTTATTATAAAATATTATCACTACAGCTGTTTCGGCTGATTGCCTTTCTCAAAAGGCAAAAATCTGTGGGCAAAGCAATCAGCCGAAGCAGCTGTAGTAATAATATTTTATAATAAATTTTGTGGAAGTGTTGAAAACAAAGTTTTCAGTGTTTTATTGTTACATAAACAAGAATGTTTAAACGCAAATTTAAAACATGTAAGCGAAATTACTTATAGGAGGATTTTTAGTACCGATTACAACTTGTCGTTCTATAAGCCTAAAAAAAGAACAATACCAGCTTTGCACTAAACATAATTCCTTAAAAGTGGGCCCGGAGAAGCATCTGTTAGAAAATGACCATGTACAACATATACGGAAGGAGCGTGTATCAATGCAAAAGCAGCTGCTAAGGGGAAATGTCAACAGCATAAGGCATTTATGTGTTGTACATTTGATTTGCAATCAGTGTTACAAATACCTTCGAGTGACATAAGTTCTATGTATTTACAGTCTTAAAGTATGCATGTATAATTTTGCCATTTATGAGCTACGTGAACCAAATGATGCCTTTTGCTATGGATGGACAGAGTTACAAAGAAAAAGAGGCAGTTCAGAAATAGATAGTTGCTTACTTAACTATATTAACCAAATGAAACCTAAAATAAAGCAGTTCTGTTTGTATTCTGATACCTGTGGCAGACAAAACCTTAACCAAAATTTTGCAACACTGTTTTTATATTTGATTTAAACTTCAAACCTAGAAATAATAGAGCACAAGTTTTTTTACAGTAAGCACACGCTGTTCTTACGGTCTGTATAAATGGGAAGATAACATTTCGGATAAATTATTATTAATATATATAAAAAATTATTACCATAAATGGTAAATGCAGCAAAATATACATGTCTTTGATAACTGGGTAATTTGGCGTAAAAGGACCATCAATGTAGGGGTTTGTAGTTAAATATAATTTGTTCTTCCAAATTGTCGGATGTATGTAATCTATACTGGTTCTTAATAGGCGCTAAACATTCTACGCCAATTTTAAATCTTACCTTCTCTAGGGCAACATATCCTTTTAAGTAAGCCCAAATTAATTCAATTGAATTCAGCTTGAAATGGTAAGGTGAAAGTCTCAAAACAGTAATACCATGAAATCCAGCTATTGAATCAACAGTATATTGATGATATCTACCACGATGCGCCTTAATTATTGTTATTAGTTCTGTTTTGACCATACCCTCTGTAAATGAAATACATTCTCCTAGCCAGCTCTTCATGGCGGATTTTCTATCAGTCATCGTTGGAAGAATATCAGTCTTCAATAAGGCGACTGTGATAAGATGCATTATCTAATATTGTGACAGAGTTACTACTTACACCCTAGAGAATGTTTTCGAAACAAGGGCACCATTTTGCAGAAAATGTATATGTGTATTCCTGTCGATAAATCTTTAACAAGTCTTGCCATTTATTACAGTTGTTTCTTGCCAAACCTTGGAAACTATATGTCCGGCGTTAATCCAAATCTCGTCAAGGTAATAAATTTTTAGATTTTTCGTACGATACTTCCGAATTGAGCGTAGATAATTACGTCGCCATAATATTATTTCCTCCTTATTTGTTAAAATTGAATTCCGACATCGTTTTATATATTGATAGTTAAGATATTACGAATCGTGTTTCGTAATAATTCACGGCTCTTTTTAGCAAAATTACATATTTCCCTTCTTACTTAATATAGATTTCCCTTACTTAATATAGATTAGAGAGGTGGGCCCCTACTTTCAAAGAAAAATGAATGTACAGTTCTGCTGAAAATATTTTTTTGGGATTCATGAAATTTAGTAGGATTTCGTCCGAGCTGATTTGCTTATGGAGGTTAAAAACCATTTGTTTTTTTCGAGCACAATTTACCTGTTTAACTGTTACCACGATACTCCTATTAAAAAAGAACAGTGACTAACAGCTTCCGTCGAAGGTAGTGTTTTTTTAGTCCATCATATACCTTGCAGATAATTTGTTTTCCTCTTGTAAGATGGGTATATGACATAGAAGTCGCGTACTTACACCACTGCTTATATCCATTTTTATTCTATGAAGAACTAATGAAATATACGGAAAATTGTCTTACTTAAATTAATATATTTTGTCTTCGCCATAAAAAAACTAATGAACAAAAGGAGTACTAAAAATATCCAGACAAAGCAATACGATCACAAATTTAACAGCCGATACTATAACAACAATAAGTTAAACGCTGATTGCTTGCATGTTTTAAATAACATCTTTGCCGATTAGCCATTTACCGGTTATGTAATTCCCACTAATATATTAAATAATACCAGATCATTTAATTTTGAACCATCAACAAAAATGATGACAAGACAAGTATGAATTCGATGGTAATTCTATCTTCACAGATGTCGCCGTCGCGGCACATACTTTCTTATCGATAACAGTTTTCAGATAACATTAATCGTTTTTGAATAATATGTGTGAATTTAAATCTTATATTATCGTACTATTCAATTCACTAATTTCGTCGTTTCTCCTGACTCTCCGTGTGACATCTTTCTCTTCCACCGGGCCGTATACTTTTTCCAGTATCTTATTCTCGAATGTCATAAGTTGTGATTCATCTTTTTTATCGTTACCCAGGTATCATAACCATAGGTTCCTACGTGTCTAATTGTTCTGTTGATAGTCATTTTGGTTCTTTTGCCTAATTAAATTTCGATGTCTTAATCTGAAAAATTACATGAAAAACGACCTGAAAACTATAAATGTAAGGCAATGGAGGAGACGGGCACAAGAGAAATCTGAATGGAAGGTCATAGCCAGAGAGGCAAAGACTCATCTAACGTTATGATGGCAAAAGAAGATGTGTGGATTTAAGAAATTAATTCAGGTACAAGCTTTAATAGTAGGTAGTCACCTAACTTTATATCCACAATAATATGGAAAGACTTAAGTAATTACAAAAACGTATTGACTAATGACTCTCCTCTCCAAGTCTCCAATAGATTGACAGAGTATATATTAGTATATTAGTATTTTGTATAATTATCTTATACAATTATGTATAATTTTCTTTATTATTGGTTTTGGTTTTATATTACGCCTAATATAATTCATTTTGTTGATAAAATAAATCCATAATTTCTTCATAATATATTTAAAACACCTCTCCAACACAAAATATTAACCTCTCCATCAATGGAATTATTTTGTTGATTGGAAATTTAGTTTAGCCACAGAATACACCACCACCACCAAGTTGGTGGTGTATTCTGTGGTTTAGCTGCTAACTTCACCTTATTTTGTCCAGACGTCATTTATGTCACATTAGGTCTGCTATTCAGACAGGTCAGTACCAGTAGTCTGATTACAAAAAAATTCAAACATTGATGACGTAATTTCATTATCAAGTATTATTTATTTGCACCTACTAGACATGAGAACAAGGAAACTAAATTCCTTTTATCAGTTCTAAATTACGCGTGGTTGGAGTGAGGTTACAGACGTTTAAATTTAAAATCGTTGAATGATACTATTTCAATTTACTTAATACTTAAGAAAACTAAACAAAGGTTAGTTTTTGCATGATTTCAATCATGATTTTTCATAAATATCAGATAAAATATTTGACTAATTATTAATCTTTTTCTATTTTTACTTGGTTTTTGAGAACATCACTCATGTAAAAGAAAAGCCAAAAGTCCCACAATACAAATTATTCAGTTTCAAGTGTCAGGGTCACAATAAATCATGTATATTATTTATATTCCTAAAATAAAAATATTTATACATTATATAGAATAATTATGTTAAACATCACATTAATGGAATATATAGATCAATTGCTATTTGCTATCATATTTCTTGAAAATATTTACATTAGTTATGTGTTTAACTTAATAAGTGGATAGTGTATGTATGGACAAATAAATACAAATGATATTATTATCCAATAGCTATGTACTTTTAATGCAGATAAACTGGTATTCTACTTTTCACAACTGCAAATAGTATTTAATTAGGTTTTTTGTGTTAGGAACTGAGTGCCTGTTTGTGACTTCAGTGAGAACTCAATTAAGTAGTAATAATGATCAGTAGTAGTAGTAAGAATCAGTAATATTATTTGAGTTACAGTTACATTTGCAATACCAGTTTAGTATGTATAAGTAGAGTTAAAGTAATTAATAACATTCATACAATATTGAATACCACACCATTCAAAAATGTGTAACATGTTAAGCTCCAAAACTTTGACACACTCCTTTTGTTTCTGACCAGATGTGGCCATAGTCATGTAAACAGGTTAATTTACTGTGGGCCAAATTGGTAGGCATGGTCTGCCATAAAAACATGCACATGGGGCTTAACATGATTGTTAAATTCAATCTGATTCAAATGATTTAATCATTTCCTTTAGGGTATTATAAGACAATTAGACAACTTCAGTGTTCAATTATATGTTACTTATACATAATAATATATCCATAATAAAAATAATATAATACAGTTAATCAATTTTATACAATATGGTAATTGAAAACATGCCATAAAATCAGTGAAATTTCAAAATAAATTAATGATTTTACTAGTTATACATTACCAACACATATCAAATTTTGCCAAATTGAAATAACATTATTAAATAAGATTTCAAACAAAAACACATATTTTGTCTAATTTAAAAATTCAACTATTGCAATACCATTATTGTCATGTTATTTTCCTTTCTCCATAGTTTATTATTGTGTATAATATGTCTTCTGTAATATTACATTAACCACCTTCATTGCCAAAGTCTTTCAAGCTTAGTGTTGGCTTTAAAATAGATAATCTTTGTAAGTGATTTTACAGAAAGTTTTATTTCTTCAGACTTTTGTAAATGTTACTATTTTAGATACTTCTATTTGTTCACTTATTTTAAAGTTAAATTTTTTAACTCCACAGTAATTTTTACACCCTTTAAGTGATTAAACATGTTTTGGCTTGTAAACATTGAAAAAACATAATTTTTAATATACCAGAGTTGACATTAAAAAATACTAAACAAAATGGCACTGTGTTAGCTTTTCCTTAATTTCAATATGATTCCTTAGCTCAAAGAGGCTGTCCGTGTAACAGACCAAATAAAATATTGTGATAGTTCAACTAAGAGTATATACACAATAGAAATAATTCCATATCATAACAATTTTCTATTTATCGTTCTGAATATGATTTTAAGACAGTGGTTATTTATAGAAATAAACAATAGCATTTATACTTACTTATTAAAATCAATAAATATACTTACTTATATATGCTTTCGTCATAATATTTTAATTACAGTTATTCCCTACCCCATTAGTTCAATTAGTGTAAAATGGCAAAAAGTACAATTTTAATCTTGTTCTGAATATTTTTTTCAATATGTCATGACAATAACAAAAAATTTCTGGTTAATCATTTTCATATAATTTTTTATAGGTTTTTTTATAGTGTAGATGTATAGTATAGAGTATAGATGTCTTAAAGATATTTTATTTTTCTTTTAAATGAACAATATTAATTTTAATACTATATTTAGTAATGTTTATTTTTTTCAGTATTCTCTGCAACTGCAACATGGACCTTTCAAAACTGCGTGTTTTAAAAAGATCAAGGATAATTCATTTATGTATGGCAATTACATTTTTTACATCAGGAGTGATAGTGAATATTGTGCAGTGTATTCTTTATTTAAGTTTGAGACCATTTAATAAATGGTTATACCGAAAAATTAACTGGTATTTGTCCTATACAATTTATTCACGTAAGTAGTTACCCATTTATATTTTATTATTATATTATCTAGAATCGCCAGAAATTAGGCATTTATTGACAGAAAATGGAATAGAATAATTCAAATAAAAACAGAAAAAAAAGGAAAAAGTAAAATATTGTGTAATTGATTAAACTAAACTAGGTACTTAATTTATTAGAGAAGCAATATGACTTGTGTACAAAATATCAACTATCAACTACAGAACTATATTACAGAAATTTAATATCAATCTAACAAAAACTCCATATTAGAAATAGGAAAATTAACATGACCGAAAATTGTTGATTCTGCTGTTCACCTAATATGTTTTTCACACTCATTTTTTTTATCAGAGTGGAAAATGAAATATTTTATGAAATGGAATCACATGATTCCATTTCATAAAATTTTTTAACTAATTTTAATACATATGAGCCATGAAGTTGAATAAATAATTACTATGTTCTCCCTGCATACTTTCTTCCATTTTCAACAAATATGGAAATAATTTCAAATATCACTGTTAAATGCTATGAACAACAGTTCTAATAACTAAACTTCTAACAAATTTCTTTAAATGTAGTGATGGAATATAGTGTAATTAATCACGTGACAGACAAATTTGGCATTAACACTAGTAATGATATATGTATATATTGTTAAACGATAAACCCTTTGGAATAAAAATCAACCTGTTTTATCATTTTCTTCACGCAATTCATTGAATATTGCCAAATATCAGGGTGGGCTCTTTTGAGTGGTCAACCACAGAAAGAATAGTAAAATTTTGATATGTATGTTCTTCATACATATTTTAGTTTTGTGGGTTGAAATTGCAGTGCTTTGGTTTTCTCAGCATCTGCATAGACTATGATTTGTTTTATTTTTGAAATATGGTTCTTTTCTGGGAGCATATATTCCTATTCTATTTAAATTTTTACTGATCCCATATACTTCAATCTTCTTTTAATGAAAAAAGTATTTTATGTGTGTGATAAATTAATATACTTAATTATACTTTCTAAATATTAAAATTATTCAATTATGTTTTTATATTACATGCACTATTTATTTGTAATACTATAAATATCACAGATAATAATAAAACATTTATTTAAAAAATACTTTATAGAAGGTATTTTAATATAAAAACTCTATCGCACTACATCACAGAACGTTTTTCGGAATGACTATTCCATCATCAGTGCTTTTGTAGGTTGAAGCCACTAAATACATGGGTAAAAATCCTCTAAATATAGTTATTAACTCTAAATAAATTAATTTTATAAAGTTTAAGTTATAATCTGACTCACCTCTCTGAGCTCGTATATCTCACCTATAGCCTATGCAGTGCTATTAGGATACTTTAGTTATTTATTATCTACAAATTATCACAGTAATGCTGTTGCATGCAGCTTCTAATATTATTATGACTAAAGCTCGGATTATAGGCAAAATGCCTTTTTTTGCCTATTTTGCCTATTATAAGTGTTTTTTGCACTTTTTGCCTTTTTTCGTAAATTCCGCCTATTTGTGCCTTTTTTAAAATTTCATGGTACTACCCATGATATTATTCTATTACTAAACCATTCTATAATAAAATTTTGGGTCAATAATAAAATATCAATGGTTTGTTTATATAATAGATTTCTAGGAAAATGTACCTGATCGAGACTTGAGGGTTAACTATTTGGAAATCCCTAAGCTTTATTAGTTTATTATCAGTTGTACAGTCGGTTACTGTATCAGAGTTTACTCACAAATTAGCAAATTGCTATATCCTAGTTTAGTTTTGTTGCGTATACCGAAAAGCAAAGAACACGTTTTAAAACGTTCAAGACAGTTGTGTGAAAAGATGACATCTAAATTAAGGCTATGGATCGCACCTTATTCGGAACTTTCTCTAGAAGGAGATGGAGCATTTTGTAAACCATGCGGCAAATCGGTAAGTTTTATTTTTTTTTTCTTTTTTTCTCGTCCCACAACATAACTAAATTCTAAAGCGGTTTTAGAATTCTAATTATTTTTTTTTAATTCTCAGATTTCAAGTAGAAAAAAGTACTTTATTGACCAGCATTGTGGAACCCCACTTCATAAACGTAATTTGGAAAAATTAAATTCCTCTAAGTTAGCCCAAACATCTCTGCGGGATAGTTTAAGCAGTTCAAAAAAAAAGGAGGAAGACGCATTTAAATTTGATTTATGCCAGATGATGATTGCATCCAACATTCCTCTATATAAAGTTAATAACCCTAGTTTTAAACGCTTTTTTGAAAAATATCTTAATAAATCCTTACCGGACGAGAGTACATTGAGAAAACATACTGTGGAAAAATGTTATGTGGAATGTATTTCAAAAATTAAGCACGAGTTGGAGGGCAATTTTTTGTATATTATCGTGGATGAAACGACAGATGTATGCGGCAGGTATATAGCTAATTTAATGATTGGAATTTTGAACGAAAACTTTGCGAGAAAACCTTATTTAGTTGCCGTTAAAGAATTGGAAAAAACAAACAATTTAACAATAAGTCGATTTATACAAGATAGTTTAACAAACCTCTTTTTACCCAACGCTATACCAGTGAATAAAATAGTTTTAATGCTTTCAGATGCTGCGGCATATATGTTAAAAGCTGCTGTTAATTTAAAAATTTTTTATCCTAATTTAATTCATTGCACTTGTGTAGCCCACGGGGTAAATAGAATTGCTGAAGAAATAAGAAATCTGTTTCCGTTGGTAAATAATTTTATAAATTTTATGAAAAAAGTTTTTGTAAAGGCTCCGTTGAGGGTGCAAATATATAAAGAAAGACTTCCCGGTGTCCCTTTGCCACCTAAACCAGTAATTACAAGGTGGGGAACCTGGCTCGAAGCAGTCTTTTTTTACTTTGAACACTGCAATGAAATAGAATTAGTTATGTCAGAATTTGATGATGATATTTCCGAAGCCATTCGAGAAGCAAAAAAAATATTAAAAAATCCCAAATTGAAACAGGAACTCGGTTATATCAATGACAATTATAAATTAATAGTTACCACAATTACCTTATTAGAAAAACAAGAGATAAATTTATGTGAGTCAGTAAAATTAATAGATAATTTAAAGACGAAAATTAAATCGGCACCTGGAAGTAACGGTCAATTAATTTTTAAAAAAATGAAATATGTTTTCGACAAGAATGAAGGTTTTTCGTTTTTATCTAATGTTGCTAAAGTTTTGAATGGGACATTTTCCGAGGAATTTCAAATTATGCCAGATTTATTATCCGCTCTGAAATATGCTCCAATTACATCTGTCGATGTCGAACGTTCGTTTTCAATGTACAAATTAATTTTAAGTGATCGAAGACATAGTTTTAAGACCGAAAATATTGAAAAACATTTAGTTGTTTCTATTAATGATAAAATTTTAAGTGGTTACAATGTTTAATTATTAATTAACAGTTATTTAGTTACTAGTTTATTTATACTAATGTTATGATTATGATGTGTAAATATACTTGCCTTAAGTTAATATTACGTTAATTTACTTTGTACAATAAATAATAAGTTATATTCCTTTATTGCCTATATTTTGCCTAAATGTTAATATTCCTGCCTTTTTTAATAAAAATCTTTGCCTATATAGGCGCCTTTTTCTTCAATTTTTGTTGCCTATAAATCCGAGCTTTAATTATGACCGGTGAAACTGGCGAAATAGCTTATAATATTTAAGACATTTTGATATTAAATCAATACATATTTTCTATACAAAATAGTTTCGATATTTCACATCTGCCAGGTGTCTGTGTGGTTGTTCCGTTAATTTTTTGTTGTTACTGTGATAATTTATATTTTGCCCAATAGAAATAATCACTTCCTATGTGCACTGAGTTTAATTTTTCTATAGGTGACAATATATTCTGTTGTTAATTTTTGTTCTCTACTAATGTCAAATGTTTATTTGTATGAAGCTTACAATTGAAGAATGTATGTGTTAAAATTTCTCCTAATAATAATTATTTGATCTTGTCATGGGAAGTTTCTTCATGAATATGTTATCTACTTTGAATTTGAATATATTTTATATCTGTTGTTAATGATTGTTAATATGCGATTAATATTAAATCTGAATTACCATTACATGAAAATTGATCGGTTGTGCTTTTATCCATTGTAAATTATATTTTATCCAATATCTTTAAAAAAAAGTGACTTACTTGAATTTTTGTTTTTCAGAATTAGTATGCCTAGGTGATTGGTGGTCTCAAACAGAAATAATTATGTATGTAGATAAAACCGTTTTTAATAAATATTTTGGAAAAGAACATGCCTACTTGGTCATGAATCACACATACGAGATAGATTGGCTTATAGGCTGGATGATATGTGAAAGAATACATGTCTTAGGGGTAAGTTACAATATATTTTATAACATAGTTTATATTTTATAACAACCCCTGAACACATCGATATCTTTAATATCTCCTTTAATATTTTAAAGTATTTGTACCATTTGAGGAAGATTTTATTTTCGAATTAACTTGTCTCGACATCTTTAGTCATTGACACGGGAGCAAAGGTTTACAATAATACAGAGTTTATTTATTGATTTATTTCAACGGTAGAACCATTTACAATAAAATACAACAAATAGTAAAAAGTAAAGATCATGTACAATAAATATCAAATCAATAACAAAGAATCAAGTAAACAGTTAAAATTTGTACATTAAAACAGTATATAAAGTCACAAAAGTTAAAAAACCAAAAAAAAGTATCACATATCTAGATTAATAATTAGATTCAAAAGTTACCTTTTGAAAGCATTAATGTCTGGGCAGAAAGGATCCAATAGAAGGTCATTGCAAGAGCTGAGCATTCTCGACAAGGAATATAAAAGAGTGCAGTGTGTTGAGTTCTATGTATTGTGTTATGTGTACCTTGGTTAATAACTAGGGACAATTAATAACATTGTTTAGAATTTTAAACAAAAATAGCATATCTCAACCTAGCAATGTTCAATTGAGACATTATTATAGAATAATCTATGAAATAATTTTCAGTATTTTTTATATTAATATGTGCTTTAAAAGCTAAAGATCTTGGAAACTTCCTCTGAACGCTCTCCAATCCATCAATGTATACTTGATGAAATGGGGACCAAACAACAGAGCAGTATTCAAGACCTGAGCGTACCAGAGAGCAATACAATAATTTGAATACAATAGGTGAGAGATCATGACTGTTACAATAAATAAAACCAAGATTACGAAAACCTGTTTCCTTAATTTTAAGAAAATTGCTTCTAAATGGCAATGCACAATTAAATCTTCTTCTTAACGTGCCCTATCAAGTCTAGTTGACGTTGGCGATTAACATGGCGAAACTGTCTCTGCCTCGAGCTATTTCACAGAGTTGCTCAGCTTTCTTTATTCCTGTCCACTCCCTGATATTCTTCAACCAAGAGGCCTGCTTTCTACCAATTCCTCTGCGTCCTTCGATTTTACCCATCATAATAAGTTGAAGAATATTATATCGGTCTTCCCTTACTACGTGTCCAAAATAAGCCATCTTTCTACATTTGATGTTATCAAGCAGCTTGCGAGCAGCATTTGCTCTCTCAAGGACTGCCACATTTGTCAGCATAGCCGCCCATGGAATTTTTAGTATATGTCTGTGGAGCCACATTTCAAAGGCCTCCAGACGATTAATGGTGGATATTTTTAATATCCATGCTTCGACACCGTATAAGAGGACTGACCAAACGTAGCATTCAACCATGCGCATGCACAATACAATAATACACCCAAATCTCTGATCTCAGTAACTGAATCCAAGAGTACATCATTAAGAACATATTATCTATTAGTTATTAGATTATTTGTACGACCAAATGAAATATAAGAACATTTAGTTGGATTTAAGCTTAAACCATTTTGTTTTGACCATAAACATATATTATTTACATCATCTTGCAGGAGATCTCTATCCGATTTTTTATATATACAACGAAATAACTTAAGATCATCAGCAAATAGCGGGAAGTGTGAGTTTTTGATAGCCTTACCAATATCGTAAGGGTGGCCGCACACAGAAAGAGCAAAACTGTTTTAGTCAAAAACGTTTTTGACTAAATGAGTCTGATGCTGATGTTTCCATATAAATGAAATGAGCTGACGCACACTGATTAGTCGTGTGTCTAAATCATGTTTAGGCTCATTTAGTTTTAGTCAGTCTGTTCGATGTTGATTACCGGATCGTCGTTTTGTGTCGAAACATTTCAATGTACGCAGACACAACATGTTTTTGGAATCCCCTTCTTGAAACCGCTCGCGTAGTCAACAAGAAGCACATGTGGAAACATCGATATTTTGCTTGTTTATATTGTGTGTATCATGGAAGTGGACGCAGAAAAATTAATTGTACTGATTGAGGCCAGACCCCTTATATAACTATCAATTAAAAGATCATCACAATCAAAATTTGAATCACAAAGACTGGAGAGTTTTTTCAGCAGTTCTTTTCTTATTTATAGGATTCACCCAAAATTGTCTTTTATTTTGCGTTTTTTCGTCCTGTAGGAGGAACCACTGCCAGAAAACTAGTGCAATTTCGTCATTATCTGTCGACATCTTTAATAAAACTGATTTCAGTATGGTTTGTGCAAACATTTTGTTTCTCTTGAAAACAAAATGTTTCTTTTGGAAACAAAAACGTTTTCGTTTCAAACAAAAACGTTTTTGACTAAAACAGTTTTGCCTTTTCTGTGTGCGGCCACCCTAAATGAAAACAATAAAAAACAAGGGACCACAATGGGACCCTTGTGGTACACCAGAATAACAATGGAGAATGACAATGGAATTATTTTGAAATATAATTGTTAATACGAACTTGCTGTGTACATTCCATCAGAAAACTTTTAATCCAATTAACAATGGGGTCACCAAAGCCAGATGCATGAAGTTTGTGGACCAAAAGATTATGATTAACCTGGTCAAAGGTCTTTGAGAAATCAGTGTAAACGCTGTCGACCTGAATTTTATTTTCAAATGCACACAACAAGTATTTTTGGTAATTGACTGTAGACTTCGTGTTAGATAATTCATGTTGTTCATCAATAATTATATTTCTGCAAGCCCAGGTGAGATTGATCGATACCAATTTATCAAGAAGTTTCGGGATTGCTGATTGAATAGTTATACCTCTATAATTGTTAACACACTCGCGATTGCCAGATTTATAGATAGGTCTAAGAAAACTATTTTTCCAATATTGTGAAAATACAGATGATGACAATGATAAATTGAAAATTTGTTGTAAAGGTTTACAAAGGGAAAAAATACAGTTCTTAATAAGTGCTGCAGGTATACCATTAGGCCCTGAAGAATATGTAGTTTTTAAACTAATCCCCTTGAAAACATCAGTCAGACTAAACTTCAGAATATGGAAATCTACACTACAGTCCAATTTAAAATTAGGTTAATTGACTGTCCAGTTGGTTGTCAAAACCAGTGCCAATAAAACACACACACACACACACACACACACACGCACACACACACACACACAACATTAGGTTCATTATACTCACTATCATTATATGTACCTGAAAAATAACTTAGTATGAGTATGAGTTATGAGTATTTACACTACAGAAACTAGTTATCTAGACTGATAATATAAGGAAAAGTGGAAGGAAGAAGAGGTACAGGAAGAAGAAAATACTCTTGGCTGAAAAATGTAAGAGACTGGACAGGCATGGACACACATTCGATAATTAGAACAGCTCAAGATAAAGAGCAATTTGCTGTAGTTATAGCCAATCTTCAGTAATGGAGAGGGCACCTTAAAAAGAAGGTACTTGAGCAGTTAAAGAATAACAATATTATGTGAATTATATTTTGTTAAACAATTGTATAGTTTTTAAGAAGTCTGTTAAGCTTTTGAGTCGGCTTGAACCGTTCAGAAGCTCTTATAAACTGTGGTTTATATTGTTGGAAATGCGAATGGTCTGGTAGTGTTGACATTCTGTGAGGATCTGCTAGACGGTGATAAGAATATCGTTGCAGTGGGAACATAACTGTTGGTCCGTAGAGGTCATAAGAGGTCTTCTCTATTCTGTTCAGAAATGTAAGGGATAAATAGCTGTCAACATTAGTTTGTATTTCTCTGAGCTTTTGTGTCTTTGGTGATCTAAAGTTCTTGTCACTTACCGTGAATATTCCTTTTGAATTTTGATTTTATATCTTCTCGGAGCTGTATGGTAGATGGGTAAGTTGGATGTAGAAGCATTTTTTGCAGCGTTGTCAGCCATCTTATTTCCTTGGATTCCGATATGAGAAGACGTCCATATTGTTATTGAAGTCCCTCGGGAAGCGTAGAGTTAATCGGTTCTAGTATTTTTTGCACTAAGTGATGTTGATTGAAAATATTTTCTAACGAATGAATTGCAGATAAGGAATCGGTACGCAGAGCCACACTTTGATAATTGTCAAACTCAAGGCTTTTGAAATATTAAAGTATTCTCCGGAAATTTGGCTCTCAACAAATACAAGATGAACCGCAAAGTATGCAGCCGGCAGAGGCTCCAAGGGGCCTCAACAGATCCAGCAGGCAACTAGCGGAAAAAATCATTACACAAAATAAAATCGAATGGACCGTTAAAAACTTTAAACCTTTTAAATCCCCTAGTAAGGACGGAATATTTCCTGCTTTACTCCAAAAAGGTTTCATGCAAATACAGCCGCAACTACAGCGGCTTTTCATAGCAAGCCTTGTGTTAGGTCACATTCCAAAAACTTGGAGGGACGCAAAAGTGGTATTTATACCAAAGGCGGGGAAACGTCCTACGGACGAAGCGAAGTCTTATCGTCCTATATGCCTGACCTCCTTTCTCCTAAAAACAATGGAGAAACTAGTAGATTACTACATAAGAAGCGAAACTTTAGCGAGGAATCCACTTCACAAACATCAGTTTGCCTACCAGACTGGCAAATCCACTATAAATGCTCTGAATTCGCTAGTCGAAAGAATTGAAAAGACAATAGTGGCAAAAGAAATAGCTCTTTGCGCTTTCATTTACATAGAGGGAGCATTTGATAATACCTCATTTGAATCCATAAAAAGAGCACTAGTAAAGAGAAGCATTGAAGTCTCACTAATACAATGGATTCAGTCAATGCTAAAAACGAGAATCATCACTGCTAGTATTGGAGGAGAATCTGTGACTGTGACAGCGGTAAAGGGGTGCCCTCAAGAGGGAGTATTATCGCCTCTACTGTGGTCTTTGGTTGTGGATGACCTCCTCACTAAGCTGAATGATTCTGGTTTTATAACCCAAGGTTACGCAGATGACCTAGTTGTTACAATTAGGGGCAAGCATGACCAGACTATCTAGTCTCATGCAAACTGCTCTTAACGAAATTAAAAGCTGGTGCTCGAAGGAGGGCTTAAGTGTCAACCCCAGTAAAACGACTTTGATACCTTTCACAAGGAGACGTAAATACAATTTACAGGCTCCAACTGTGAATGGCATCACATTAAACTATTCCAAGGAAGTTAAATATCTGGGGGTAACCCTAGATCAAAAACTCAATTGGAATAGTCATATTGAAAAAAATTTATCCAGAGCTTTGGTGGCAAGTTGGACCTGCCGCAAGACATTTGGAAAGACTTGGGGCCTACAACCGAAAATGACTCTGTGGTCATATAAAACAATAATTAGGCCCATGGTCACATACGCATCATTCGTATGGTGGCCAAAAACACAACAAACAACAGCTAACGCCAAGCTGCAAAAAGTGCAGCGGCCAGCTTGTCTGGGAATCACAGGGGCAATGTCAACATGCCCCACTGCAGCTCTAGAGGCGATGCTTGAACCTTCCTCCCTTGCAGTTCTGCATAAGGAGGGAGGCAGTAACTACCGCCTTAAAACTGCGCCAGACACAAATAATGAAACCTGGAGATCTAGTTGGCCACCTGAAAATCGTGGAAGAAATTCCATTGGATTCTAAGGACATGCCGACAGATGCTATGCCAGTCAAATTCGACTTTGAAACACCCTTTGAAGTGGTCATAAAAAACCACCAAATGGGTGAAGAAATTGAGCCAAAAGTGGAAGAGGGTTCACTCGTATGGTATACGGATGGATCTAAGATAGATGAAAGGGCAGGAGTGGGAGTTACTGGGCCCAATTTCAGGCTATCTAAATCTCTTGGAAACGCCCCAACTATCTTCCAGGCAGAAATACATGCCATAGACATAAGTGCCCAAGAATGTCTCAACCGAGACACTCGTAGGGCAAAAGTCTTTATTTTATCAGACAGCCAAGCCGCCTTAAAGGCTCTAAAGTCATTTACATGTGAGTCAAAGTTGGTTTGGGACTGTAAACAATCTCTCAAGAAGCTGGCGGAACGCAACAATGTAACTGTGATGTGGGTGCCAGGTCACAAGGGAATTGCAGAAAATGAGGAAGCTGACAGCCTCGCAAAAGAAGGAGCTAATACCCTATTCCAGGGTCCGGAACCCTTCTGTGGACTATCGAAAAGCCACATCAGAGAGGAACTCCGTACCTGGGAACTCAATCAACTAAGATCATATTGGTCTAACACACCAGGACAAAGGCAAGCAAAAAGGCTCATAAAAGTGTCGCCTACTGCAACAAACCGCCTTCTCGAAATGAGTAAGAAAGATATTAAAATGGTCACTGGCCTTCTCACTGGTCACTGCCCTCTGAGATATCATCTCAAGAAGATGGGCAAATCAGATAGTGAGAACTGTCGTCTCTGTCACAATGAAAAAGAAACGGCAGAACATATACTATGCAACTGCGTAGCACTGTTCTGCAAACGACTAAAATTCCTAGGAGAGGTGAGTCTGGTGTGCTCTGACATAGGAAACAAGTCACCTAGGAAGCTAATCAACTTCATCAGAAGTATTGGCATTCTAGAGTTTAACTAGATTAAGGTATGCACAAAAGATCTGTATAGGTCGAAGTGCGGTGAGGCCGCACGGCCTTAACGACCTCACATAATCTAATCTAATCTAATTCTCCGGAAAACACGCAACATTCGTTAGATATTCCTAATACTCCACTAATACCCACTATAATTAAGCACCTTATCATAGTGGAATGTATTCACAATATTCATGAAAGTTTGTCGTCAAATGATATTATTTGCCTGTTGCTTGTTGATCATTGTTTCAAATATTTACGAAGGGCATATGTTAGGAAGTTTGGAGAGTTGGGAAGATATCTGCTTTCTTTGATTTTTTTATAAGAAATATAATGGATTCTCTCCATTTGGAAGGAAATTCTTGTCGGGTCCAAATTAGGTTGTACAGTTGAATTCATTCATAGTTAATTCTCTATCTCCTTCTATGATTTCATTTGTATGTAGTACTTCTATTCAGTTTATTTCAATATTTTTATCTTTTAGATTTTATTTATTCCTTACCACGAGTTTATTCAGCCATGGTACACTATCAGATTTGTTTGAATGCTCATATCCGTTGCTCAATTGATTAAAAAAAAGTTTCTGGAACAATACTCTTCGTGATTTCTAAATGTCGTCGTAGTGTAATTTTAAAATAAACGAAGTAAACTAGTTTATGACTTTGAAATTTAAGATAACTACCTCCAATGTGCTGACAACTTAAACATGTTATTACTCATTTTAAAGCCTAGTGCCTTAAAATTGAGTTATGAGTAAACCTGAACTCCCTTTCGTTTATCTATAGTACCTAGATGGATCTGTAGTATTATCAAACATCGTGTATGGAGATATAAAAAATCTATGTTATACTGTTATACAAGTTTATGCTTTATGATAAAAGTTCAATTCTTTAATTTGTTTCAGAATTGCAAAGCTTATGCCAAGAAAGTCATTCAGTATATACCAGTTTTGGGTTGGGCTTGGAAATGCTCAGAATTTGTATTTCTGGAGAGAAATTTTGATAAAGATAGGGAAGTTATAAATAAACAAATTACCGAATTGGCAGAACATCCTGATCCAATATGGGTAAGTAAATTAGAGATACAAGTGATATTTCATAATAATAATGATTTCAATTAAATTTAAATAAATATAGAAAAATTTATAGAAAAATAAAAAGTGCGATTTAATGTTGATATCGAAAAATTACTTCTGCGTATCTTGTTTTGTGAAGAAAATATGGAAGAATATATTTTAAGTATTTCTAAAAACAACTTATATATATAAAAATGAATAAACATCACCAAACATACAGATTTATTAACATAAAGTATATGTAGAATTTGTATGAAAATTGATGTGCTAGTGTTAAGGTTAATGAATGTTATATTTAAATACTTGGTAGTATTATATGTATATACTAGCTTACCCGGCAAACGCTGTTTTGCCTTATAAATTATTTCTAGTTTCTAGATAAATTCTAGTGTAGACAAAAAGTTCCTTACTTATTATTAGTGTGTAAGTATGTGGTATATGCGTGAAATGGGCGAGGAGCGCTATGAACGATAAGGGAATATAAAAATAACACGCCAAACAATATTATTTTCAAGTTATTATAGTTTATTACTTAAAATTACATATCACATATTAATTACGATAGTAACCCTAACAAACAAAATCAATCTCTTAATGCTATAGCGTGAACAATATTTTTGTTACCCCATCTTTAGCGATCACAAACAACTGGATGGCTTACCCACTCGAGAGCATACTACGTACAATTGCCCGTATGAAAAACATGGTATACTCAAATCTAAGCCACAAATAGACATCGTTTGGCCTTGGGATTTGTTGATAGTCATTGCAAATGCCAATCTAGTCGGAAACTGAATTCGTTTGAATTGAATTGGCACATCTGTAGGTATGATAGGAATCCGTGGTATTAATATATTTTCACCTTTGAACTTGCCATTTAAAATGCTGGCTTCGATACCGTTTTTCATCAATTTTCGAATGACTAATCGCGTACCGTTGCACAGCCGTGGCGGGTTTAAATTACGAAGCAAGATAATTGGAGATCCAGCTCTCAATTGTAAATTATGCGGTGGTATGCCTGGCAAATCCAGTGAGTTCACAAATTCTGTGGGAAAATTGACAGCTTCGCTGGCATCGCAAACTGTATCAATAGATTTTTATGATACCAAGTTCCCTGGCAACAACTGTTGTATCTTCAAATTTAAATTGTTGACGTCTTTTTTGCTGCTAAAATAGCTCTTTCTGCAAGCCACTCATGATTTATGTACTGTGTGTGTACATCAGGAAATATTTGTTCAATGAGAGTATCTTGCGACTCAGCGATTGTGCAGAAATCGGTCGGTAATTGTACGTATCCAGTTTCATCTGTAGCAACTTTTCCATCGCCGATATCTAAGAGTTGTTTTGAGAATGTTTCAGCGGATGGATCTTGAAGCATTTGAACGCGCATATTTACTTTCAGCTGTATTTTTTCAACATTACGCCACAATGGAGATGATTTTAAGCAAGCGTTGCAGCGTATGTTGAACGTGGAATGACGGGAAGTGTTTGTCTGAAATCACCTGAAAGCACCAACAGAGTGTCGCCAAATAGTTTGTCGTTGTTTTTAATATCTTTCAATGTCCTGTTTAACGCCTCAATTGAATGTTTGTGTGCCATAGTATATTCATCCCAGATAATAATTTTACACTGTTTTAGCACGGTAGCCATGGACGATTGTTTTTTAATGTTACATACTGCGTCAGGGTTATTTTGAATAGTTATTGGCAGCTTAAATACTGAATGAGCTGTTCTGCCTCCATCCAATAAAGTTGCTGCAATGCCCGATGATGCAATGGCCAATGCAATGCCATTATTTGATCGTATTTCAGCAAGAATTAGTGAAATAAGGAATGTTTTGCCAGTTCCACCCGATGCATCCAAAAAGAAGAACCCACCTTGTCCTGCTGAAACTGCGAGCAAAATGCGGTCATAAATGGTTCTTTGTTCGTCATTCATTAGTGGGATATTGCGAGTAACAATCGCTGCCATTTCTACAGTGTTGTACTGCCGTTCGCGATTCATTTCAGTGTTAATTAAATCAGGTGCAGTTCGATTTGACGAATTCATACCGAAATGAGTGAGTGATAAGTTGGTAATGACAATGCAAAGATCCTCAATAGCAATCAATGCTTCATTGTACATAGCGTCGCTGAATTTTATCGTTAGATCGTTGCACCGTGTACGATGTTGATGCAATATATCATCATTAATTGAATCTTTGTGATTATCTCACAATATCTGTGCTCGAGCTGGGAAACATGTAGTCAACACTATAGCGAATAGTAGACGAATTTGTATTGCTGTACAGTTCAATGCAGCTTCAGCAAGCATACACTCCCACTGGTTGTCGTCTTCCAGCAAGCCGAGTGCAAGACATGCGTCTTTATATGTTGGATACTGTTGCCCATTTACTTTACGTATATCTTGAGATGATAATGGGGCAGTAACATTAACCAACAACAATCATTAAATAAATTGAGACATGCATCAACTGGTGAGCCTTGCTTGCGGGGCATCCAATTTTTGTTTGAGCCCATGTGAAATATTGTGGTACTTGTGAATAGAGTAATGTTCTTGCAAAAGCACCAAAATCAGCCATACTATTACACAGTTCAAAAAATGCTGTGAGTGTAGTTTTAGGTGGATTTGTAGCACGATCAATCACAGTCTCGTTTTATTTTAATGCCCATTTCCTCTCCTACCTCGTGAATACGATCAAGCAGAATTTGAAGACCTTCAATATTATCGGATAGAATTACTGTATCGTCTGCATATCTAATCACATTAAATAGTTCCCCGTTGATTTTTATTCCATATGGTTGTCTCTCAAGTGCCTTTTTAAATAGCTGGTCCGAGTAAACATTGAACATGTTGGCGACAAAATGCAACCTTGTCTGACTTCTCGTTGTATGGGGATTTCATCGGTGTAGTTATCTCCAATTTTTACGATAGCAGTTTGATTCCAGTACAGATTTTTAATGACACGAAATTTCTTGTCATCTATTCCGATATTTTTCAGTATTTGCATTAATTTTACATGCTGTACTTTATCGAATGCCTTTTTGAAGTCCACGAAACATGCAAATACATCTTTTTTTGGTCACGGCATTTTTGTAATACGATGTTAAGCGCAAAAAGTGCCTCCCTGGTTCCCATAGCATTTATAAAACCAAAGTGGGTATCTTCAAGATCTTCTTCGCATTTGCGTCTAATTCTATTGTGAAGTATTCTGAGGAAAATTTTAAGAGTGTGGCACATTAGGCTAATTAATCGATATTCTGAGCATTTTCTTGCATTGTGTTTTTTAGATATTGCGATAAAGATGGATTTGAGCCAATCTGCGGGAATCACTCCGGTGTTATATATTGAATTAAAAAGTCTTACTACTACTTTTATGTTATCATTCTCTATTAGTTTCAGCAACTCAGTTGGTGTATCATCTGGACCACAAGCTTTTCTAATTTTAGCATTATTTATAGCGTGTTCTATTTCATAATTTCTGGGCCGTCAGTACAGTTTTGGTAGAATTCGACAATATTATTCCTGTCATCTTCAAACAACTCTGATATATACAGCTGCCATTCTTTTCTTAGTTCTTGCTCATTTACAATTATTTTGTTATTAGTGTCAACAAGTACAGAGGGAACTCGTTTTTTTTTAAATATATTACTCATTTCTTTCAGTTTTTTGTGCACATTAAATAAGTCGTGTTTAGATATTACATCCTCCATTTCGTCGCACCTTTCTCTCATCCATTTTTCTTTGGCTAATTTGATCTCCGTTTTTATTCTTCTCTGCAGGTGTCTATATTCTGTTAAATTAGATTTTATCAGTCGACGTTGTTCTATTAATTTCAAGATGTCGTCTGTTATCCAGTTATTTTTCTTGATTAAGTTTTTTCTATAATCATTGTTTGTGGAGATTTCGTTAACTTTTTCTATAACAATTGTTTGTGGAGATTTCGTTAACTTGGTCTTTAAATAACTTGGTCTTTAAATTTACTCCACAGTTCTTCTGGATATATATATATATATATATATATATATATATATATATATATAAAAGAATTTTAATTTTTAAACTTTACAAAAGTATATATAAAAAAAATATATATAAAAAAAATTATTTAAATTTTTGATTTATGATTTATATCACACCTTTCAATTTTGGTATCTCAGGTTTTACTCGTGCTTCAATATCTATACTTTACAGCTGATGGGTTAGGTCCAAAGAATAACGGAATAAAACAACATAATATGATATGAAAATAATGTAATAAAATAAACTGATTAAAATACCTCCAAAAAAATTATAAGCATACAATGTTTATCAAACAAATATCGTTCTACGTACGTGAACCTTTAATAATACATAGATAATGTAATACATTACAATCTAAAATCTAGCTTATTATTCTAAATAAACAAATCAAGTAATACTCAGTGGCCTTCCTAATGCAATTTTGGTATACCGATTGTACCAAGAAAAATTTGTATGAATTATCTAACTCTCTCCACAGCTTCGTCCCCTCCTCAGAACCAGTTTGATCTCCTTCGACAACTTATTCACACGTTACTAATATGATATAATATTATTTGACCCAAAATTCTCAAATTGAAATTAGTTATGAATGTTTCTTCCGTTGAAACGCTTCCTCTGCCTTGAGTTGTCCCATTCCTCGTTCTATGCAAAATAAACTATCAGTTCTCAGCAGCCTCCTATGTAATGGGCAATATTAAACAAGATATTGCAATTTAGTATCTTCAATGCTCTCCTTCGAATGCACGTACCTTTCCAATGATGCCAGCTTCTTTTCCTCTCGCCAAACTTAATCTCTCGTTCCGAAATAAACAGCGATACGTAGAATACAAGTAGGAAAAGTTTACTTACAAATTTGTACTAGATCAGCCACCGTCGGACACACTTACTTCACCAACTCACAACTTATTCTTTATCACCTACCCCTGGAGACCACCTCGAAAACCAACCATTCACTTTAAGAAACTGGA